CTGGAGTCCCGCGGCCGCTCAGTAGTCCCGCGGGCCGCTCGCTGAGGGAGCTCGGGGCGGGGAGCGCGCTCGTACTGCCGTTTAGGGGGAGGGGGCGCCTGCTGCGCCCGGGCGTCCACTTTGGGGTGTCCCAGGCCGGCTTGGAGGATCCCTGAACGCGCCCGCTTGCTCAGCCTTTCCCGGCGCCCTCGAGGGCGCCCCGGGAGCGGCCGGCTCTGAGCGAAGTTGTTTCTCGCGGCAGGAGGGCGCCCCGGGAGCCCCCAGCTCCCCGACCCCGCGTCTAAGCGTTACATGTCCCCCGAGAGGGGCAGATAAGCATCTCCGGCTGTGAACTTGTTCCTGGACGGAGCCCCGGACGCAGCGAGTCGGCGAGAGAAGCTGCCAGGCGCCCCGTCAGCTTCCAGAAAGTTTGTCTTCCAGGAGTCGGGTGCGGGGTCCCGGGGCCGCCCCCGGCGCGGACCCCCGCCACCCAGCATGGGACCTCGGTAATGGAAGCCCCGGAACAGACTTCCCCGCGCCGGCTGCGTGTTTGTTCGAGGGTCTAAAGTCCCAGAGGATGACCTAGCACTTCAGACAGCCCAGCCGGCCTCCCAGGGCCCCGAGGACGAGCCGCTCCTGGCCGCCAGGCCCGGGCGCACCCCACCTCCCCGCCCCAGGCCGCACGGGCTTGGGTTTCCTACAGACGTTTGTTTTCCAAGAAGGGTGTTTTCGTTGTTGCTTTGTGTTGACTTTGAGGGGTGAGAGGACGAAGGGCTGGGCGCCGGACTCGGCCCTGGTGCAGCATGGATGTGGTGGACCCCCAGCAGCTGGGCATGTTCACGGAGGGCGAGTTGATGTCCGTGGGCATGGACACCTTCATCCACCGCATCGACTCCACCGAGGTCATCTACCAGCCGCGCCGCAAGCGCGCCAAACTCATTGGCAAGTACCTGATGGGGGACCTGCTGGGGGAGGGCTCGTATGGCAAGGTGAAGGAGGTGCTGGACTCGGAGACGCTGTGCCGACGGGCCGTCAAGATCCTTAAGAAGAAAAAGCTTCGGCGGATCCCCAACGGGGAGGCCAACGTCAAGAAGTAAGTGCAGCGGGGCACTGGGCTTCTCCCTGCCTCCCTCCCTGCGTCCACCTCACCTCCCTTCTTCCTGCCTCCCTCTTTCCGTCTCCACCTGCCTTCCGCCCTTTCTCCTTTCATTAGTCCCTTCCTTTTTTTCTGCCTGTCTTTCTCGCGCTGCTTTACCTTCATGTCCCTAACTTCCTTTTTTTCTGCCTTCTGCCCTCCCTCCTTCCCTTCCTTCCTCCCCTTAAATCCTCCAGCTAGGGACGGTGTTACTGGAGACCCGCACACTTCCGCTCGTGTCGGGCCACCCGCCGGGGTGTGTATGTGTGTGTGTCCGTGTTGGTTTGCGCTCTGCTGAGAGCGCCTGGAAGTCAGCACCAGCTGCGGGGCTCCCTCCTCCGGAACCCGCTGGCCTGGCGGAATGCGGTGTGTTTACCCTGTAAGAGGGAAGCCTTGTCGCTGCCAAAAAGAGCTGTTTGCACCAGCTTATCGGGCAGCAGGAGGGGACCGGGCCCTGCCCAGCGGCTCGGGGCGGGGCCGTGACCCGGAGTCCCTGACAGGCCCCGATTTGGCACCGGGAATGGAACCGCGGAGGGCACAGCCCTGCTCAGCCCCGCCTCCCAGCCCGGGGCTGGACAGCGGAGTGGCCGCGCCCCGGCCACGCCCCCGCCCCTCTGCTATCAGGTGCTGGCAGATGAGGCGCCGGGACTCCGCCCCCTTCCGCCCGCACCTGCTCCTGGGAACGTCCCCAGGCTTTTCTGACTTGTTGGAGGTGGGAAGAGGTTTGCGCCTGACTGGGCTTGCTTTGGGGAGAGCTGGCTGGGGAGTCCGTAGCTAACGAAACTTCCAGAGTTACCTCTCCCGGAGTCAAAACCAAACCCTTTGCTTGTGGCCACCTCAAGTGTGCAGAGTGGAACCGCTCTGCCTAGGATTCTCACGGGTGATTGTTTGGAAGTACTTGAACCTCCACCCTTTCGCTGAATGGCAGTGCACGTTGACTGTCTGTACAGCCCGGGTTTCACGTGACCAGCCAGGAAGGGTTTGGGGCAGCCTTTCAGAGTCATGGCCTGTGAAGTGATGACCCTGGTGGGAGGCGTGGCATGCGTCCTGGCTGCAGTCGCTCCCCGTGTTTCTTCCCTCATCTGTGAGAGGAGCTCTGCTGGGTTATTCAGGACCACCACCTTGGAGCCCTTTGGGCTAGGGGTGGGGACAGCATGTGGGGTCTGCTGTGCCCTACCTGCAGTCTGCTTATGGCCACCCCTGTGTCTTTAACTAGGAGGCAGGAATCCAACACAGGTACTGGCTCCTGTGTGTGTGGGTTCAACCTCCCAGACACCTGGGAGGAGTCTGCAACCCCTTTGGCTGATGATGGTGGGAGCATCAGGGACTTGCCCTGGGCTGTCTTGTATTGTCAGGAGTAGTGCTGGCTGCATCCTGAGTGTTCACATCCCTTGTGTACCCTTGGTCTCAGCTCTGTTAGGGTGTCACCATCTAATTGGCAGCTTCCAAGAGGGACTCAGTGTCACCCCTACCCCCCACACACACCCTGCTGATCTTAGTCCCTCATCAGGCCCCTGTCGTGATCCTGTGCCTCATGTGGTGGGAAGGCTGAGGGGCTGTGGGGGTGAGTGCAACCCACTGTGCTGCTCCTGAAACCCACCTCTCAGCATGCAAGCCCTGGTGATGCGGCCAGTGAGACCCTTTGGGCAAAAACCCCCAGTGCCAAGGGTATCGCGGGTGTCCTGCTGCAGCCACAGGCAGGCCCCGCGTGAGGTCATATGCCTGGGAGCCGTGGCTGGGGACAGTTCACTTGAGTGGAGGTGCCATTCAGGATGCACCAGGCGCGTGCTGACGAGTTCATCACCCACACCCACTGTCAGGACAGAGGAGGTTCCAGAAACTTGCTGTGCTCAGGGAAGATGCCAGTGGCCACTACCTGCTTGGTCACAGGACCCTGGGGTCTGGAGAACCTGGACCATGTACAGTCTGAGCCACCTGGTTTCCTGAAGGACCAGCAGATTCCCACCCGGCCTGAATGGAGCCATGGTGCTGACGGGCAGGAGGCTGCATCCTGGCCCCCACTGGGCGTTGTTGGCTATGAGGGGCCATCCTCACTGGAGGAGGAGCTGCAGCCCAGGACGGTGCAGTGATTGGTGGAATCCTGTCCTCAGCCTCCAGGACCAGCTCAGAGCTGCGCCTGGCTTCCAGCTGGAGGACTTGGCGTGGAAGGGGCCCACCTCCGGGATCCCCCTCAGGGAGTTCCGCCCCCGAGGACTCTGGTCTTGCCTGCAGAGTATGGCCTGGGGAGCCGAGGTTGGCTGTGAGCTTAGACCCTCCGTGCCACCTCCCTCATCCCTGTGGCCGCAGCACCTGCCTGGACGAGCAGAGCATCCTGAGGTCGCGTGGAGAAGGGCGTCTGTTCCAAGCCTGGACTCGGGCTTCCTGGCAGCCTCTCCGCCAGCCTGCGGGAAGAAAGGCCCCTTTGTCCAAAAGAAGCTTAATAAACTCGCGCGATGCTTTCTTCTCATGAAGCAGACAGGCCTTCCAGACAGGCCTCCGGAGTCCCGCCTGTCAGTTCAGAGTGCAAGCTTCTCCAACTGCAGTGACGTCGGGACCTTTGCCAGGGGGGCCTAGAGTGGGCAAGGGTCCCAGCCCAGGCCTGGAGTCACTCATCCCACTTCAGTCTTCCTTGGCTGGAGTCTTGTGGAGTCTGTCCCCGCCATTAAAAAGCAACGTGTTTTGTTGTACCAGTGGGAGGTCTCGAGAAGTTTAGGGAAAGGCCATGCCCTGTGACCCTAGCACTGAGGCACCCTGCCATGTTGCCCCCGAGTCTCTTCCTGGGTTTTGCTGAAGGGTCCAGGCGCTTTGTAATGAAATGTGAAGCTTTCCACGAGGACCCTCTCAAGTCCACTGGGCAAGCTGTGTCTGAAGCAGGCTGTGGTGTGCGCACAAATGCTTAGATAGGCTGGGTGTCCAACAAGCAGCCTCCTGTGCCGTCTTGGGGTCTGCTGCCAGTGTCCTCTGCTCCCCTGGGCCAATGGGAACGACTGTGTGCCAGGTCATACCCTCTTCAGGGTCAGGACCAGCCGTTGTCGGTCACCCCCTGAGAGGAGAGTGCAGGCCGCCTCCCTGACCTGAGATCCAGCCCCAGCCCCCGGCCCCCAGCCCTGGTCCCATCGGGACCAGTGTTGTGAGTCCACGTCTGTCTTGCAGAGAGACGGCAGGAGAGAGGATGCTTGTGGCTGCTGGTGTTTACGAGGGGCTTGCCTCACTGGGACTGCCTGGGCCGTCAGGGCCCCTTCCAGCTTAGGCATGAGAGTCAGCGGCCCTCAAGTCAGGAGCTGGGGTGATGGTCCTGGCTCTGGCCCCCTTATGAGCATGAACCCGAGCCTCAGCTCTTCACCTGGTGGAGACCAGCGAGGACCGAGGTTGGGTCTGTCACAGTCAGGCAGGGCAGCTGGGGTTGCAGCTGATGGTGTCACGATGCCCCAGGCAAGCGGATGGGCCTCAGAGACGCTGCGCTGGGCGCAGGACTCTCGCTTGTCCTGGGGAACCCCATCCCAGCTGCTGTCTGCTGCGTCCACCCCCTGCCGGGCTGGATCTCCACGTTCTTTACCAGCTTGTGGGAGACACAGCTCACACAGGCCACACTTGACCTGCGTCGGTATGGTCACAGTGAAGTGTGGCGTGGTTAGCACCACTGTCAAGTCCAAGACTTTCTTCCATCCTCTTACAGAAACCCCATGCCCTGAGCAGTGACTCCCCCGCCCCTGCCCCACCATCTCCTAACCCACTCTGTCTCTGTGGCTCTGCCTGTCCCAGACATTTCACAGAAGTGGGCTCTGACGCTCTGTGGCCTCTTGGGTCTGGTTCTCTTACTGAGTACCATGTTGTTGAGGTTCATCCATGTTGTAGCGTGTGGCCACACTTTGTTCATCTTCAGGGCTGAGTGATACCATGGTCCGGATGGGCTCCATTGGAGTTGTCCATCAGCTCTTGGTGGACCCGAGTTGTCACCACTCTTCTGGCTTGTGTACACGGTCGCTGGGGACGCCTGTGCACAGGTTCGGTGTTGAACTGGACTATTAATGCATTCCCTCTTGGGACTGCCTCTCCGTGTTCCACAGAAACCCTAGCAGAGACGAGGGCCAGGAGGCCATGCTAGGCTCCAAGTCCGAGCAGGGTGGCTCCCTGACTGCCCTGGGGGCAGCTCCTCCATGGCAGAGGGCAGTGTGGTCAGGTGGGGTGGCCTACAGCCCAGGCCCTGCTCCCTCTCCCTGGCATCCCCGGCAGCCGGCTGCTCTCTGACCGTGTGTAGCCTGATCGATGTAAATGGCCCGGTTCACACTGCAGAGCCGCCTCAGGTCCGTCACCAAATGGGCAGCTGGCCCCTCTGCCCTGGGCCGCACTCACTGGATGGAGCCGTGGGCGGCCGTGCCACTGCCCCTTTCAGAAGCGCTCCTGGCAATGTCTCCTCTCCTCCACATAGTTCGCAGCTCTCGTCCTCTTCCCCCGGCCAGAGATGAGAGGCTCTGAAAGCAGGACGTGGTGCCAAATCCCTGGAGCTGCATGACTTGGGACTTGTGCCCCTGTGCACCTCCTCCCCCGGCCAGGACACCCTGCACACCCAGCTCTAGCTTGCAGACCTCCTGTCCTCATCCCCACCTTTCCAAAAAACCAAACTCCCTGCCACTGACTTGACTCCAACTCACAGCAGCCCCCACTGGCTTTTTGAGGCGGTAAGCTTCATGGAAGTAGATTGCCTCATCTTCCTTCCATGGAGTGGCTGGTGGGTTTGAACCGCCGACCTTCTGGTTAGCAGTCAAATGCCTTAGGCACTGCACCACCAGGGCTCCCTGTCCCCACTGTTGGGTGTGTGTGATTTCTGTTTCCAGCTCGTCATGGCTTTGCCAGCGTACTCGGTGTGCGGATGTGGGGTGCCGGGGCTCGTGCTGTGAGCGCACGGACAAGCCTCGGCCCTTGGGGTTTGCCGCAGTTGTCCTGACTGGAGCAAGGGACTGGAGGGCGGGCACCACTGGTGGCGTTTGGGTGGAATTCCCCAGTGCTGTGGTCTTGCGGAGAGAGTGGACGTTTAGTGATGGGTCCTTCTTGGAGGCGGGGTGAAGGAGAGCAGACCCACAACGTGTGAGGATGTTGGTGTCACCCGGGCCACATTCCTGCCAGTCATGGCCTGGGGTGCTGACTGATCACAGGGTTCCCTCCCGGCTTTGCCACACTGGGTCCTCTGCCCTGTACTCTGGTGCTGAATCTGGTTTTGATGCAGTCTTGTTTGTGGTAGTCGGGCTTTAAATCCACTGTGTGGTCTTGTTTGTGGTCGGCTGGGGGCCTGAATCCGCTGTTCGGTCTTATTTGCAGTCACAAGGGCTTGACCCTGCTGTGCAGTGTCGTTCGCCGTCACAGGGATTTGAATCTGCTGTATGGTGTTTGCGGTCATGGGGGTTGTGAATCTACTGTGTGTTATTGCTGATGGTCGTGGGGTTTTGAACCAACCCACTGTGTGGTGATGCTCACAGTCATGGAGATTTTGAACCTCTTGTGTGCTGTTGTTCACGGTTGTGGGGGTTTTGAATCTACTGTGTGTTGTTCACGGTCACAGGGGTTTTGAATCCACCGTGTGGTGGTGGGGAGCTCTGGTGGCATAGTGCCTAAGGTAGCTGACTACTAACCAGAAGGCTGGCGGTTCAAACCCATCAGCCACTCCTCGGAAGGATGGTTGGGCAATCTATTTCCATAGACACACTGCCTCAGAAATCCAAGGAGGGGTCGCTTTGAGTCGGGTCCGACTCCATGGTACATAACAACAACAATGTGTGATGGTGTTCGAGGTTGGCAGAGGTTTGAAATGTACCTGGGGTGCCCTGCTTTCGTGGTTGACAGGTGCCATACTGACCCTGCAGGCTGACCTTGGCCCTTGGCCCTGCGTCAGGTGGGACTCACTTGGACCCCAGTTAGCAGCTTCATGGACAGGTGTGGGGGCCCAGGAGGGGCTTGGGGGGCTGGCTGCGCCGCCAGGGGTGGGGGCTTCTCCTCGAGCAGGTCAGACGCCCTGGACTGTTGCCGTCTGATGTTGGGCTCTGAGCTGGAAGTCCTGGGGAACCAGGATGGGCGTCACGGGGCGCACAGTGCTTGCTGAGGGGAGGCTGCACCCCCAAGTGCTGCCTTCCTCCCCTTCCTCCTCCTCAGGGCCTGGGGGCTGGCCGTGCACAGTGCAGGGCTGGATAGCCAGCCGGCTGTGGGAGGTGCCACGTAGCTGGCCAGAGCTCAGTGTGCGGGTGCTGAAGAGCCTGCCGGGGATCCCCTCCACCCCTGGGCCCAGCACCGGCTCTGCAGTGGCTCCTCGGGGCTGGCTCGAGCTTGCTGGCTGAGGGATACTTAGAGGCCATGGCAGTTCTGCTGGGAGGGGGCAGCATGGGGTGAACTCGGAGCACCTCTGTCCCCCAGGAGACCCCAACAGACTGTTTCAGTGACCTTGTCTGATGGGATGGCACCAGCCGGGGCTGGGCATGCATGGGTGCTGGGTGGGTGCGGTATATCACTCACACAGATGGTGAATTGGGTTAGTCCAGCCGGCCCCTTGGGCAACCCTGCTGCCTGCCCGCCGGGCTGTGAGTGCCAGGCTCCAGGCCAGTGCCATAAATAGCCATGCCAGGCCCTGCCGGGAGTCGGAGCTCCGGACATGTGTTTACCCAGGAGAATAGAAGGCAACCCAACCTAGCGAGAGAGGGTGGGGCTACAGGGGTAAGCCTGCGGACCGTGGGCAGCTCTGTGTCGGGGTCTTTCTGGGGTGGGCCATGTTCTCAGTCCAGCCTGCCTCTACAGCCTTCCCTTCATCCTCCTCCCCCTGCCCAACTGGCTTTCCCTGTGTCTCTCAGGTCCCTCCCGTTGCTCCTCCGTCACCCTCGTCCTGGGGACTGGCCTTAGAGCGCACTCTTGCAGCCCTGTGATGGCCTGGAGCAGGCCCTGGGAACACGGGAGTAATGTACAGAGGTTGGGGGCAGTGAGGAGAGCGTCCTGGAAGGGGCGGACTTTCTCAGAGCCTGGGCTATGGAAAGACAGGAACCTGGGTCTGGGGGGCATCGGGCACGCTGGGTGGCCCAGCTGTGGTGGCCGTACCCACGTGGACGAAGGCTCCAGGTGGCTGAACGGGCAGCTGTGTCTCTGAGCGGAGCTGAGTGGATTCTTTGAGTCAGCTGGGAGCAGGGCTGGGGGTTTGAGCCAGGGGGCTGGTGAGCTGAGCCTCGGCAGATGTGTGGCCCCTGGGTCTACCTGTGGCAGTGCTGACGCCTGCCCCATCCCTGTAGGGAGATCCAGCTTCTGCGGCGGCTGCGGCACCGAAACGTCATCCAGCTGGTGGACGTGCTGTGCAATGAGGAGAAGCAGAAGATATATCCTTGCACATGCGTGTGTGCACGCATGCACGTGTGTGCGCGTCTGTGGAGGGCACGGGCTGTGCAACAGGAGACGCAGAAGATGCACGTGAGCATGTGTGTGCATATGTGTGCATGGAAGGGCCCTGGGCTGTGCACTGAAAAAGCAGGAGATACACATGCATGTGTGTGAGCACGTGTGCATGTGTGTGTGCATGCTCATGTGGAGGCCCGGGTCTGTGTGGTGAGGAGAAGCAGGAGATAGACGTGCATGTGTGTGTGTGTGCACGTGTGCATGCGTGCGTGTGTGGAGGCCCTGGACTGTGTGGTGAGGTGAAGCAAGACATACATGTGCCTGGGGTGGCTGGTCACTGATCTGCGGCGTGGATTTGGGTCAGATCCCGCTCCTCAGGGTGCCCCCTGTTCCCTGCCCTGTGCTGGCCTTGGCCCAGCTGGTACAAACTGTCGTGGTCCCCTTGACGTGTGCACGTATATGGTGATGGAGTACTGCGTGTGCGGCATGCAGGAGATGCTGGACAGTGTGCCCGAGAAGAGGTTCCCCGTGTGCCAGGCCCATGGGTGAGTTGGTGGCTTGGCTGTACTTCCCTAGCCTGGCCTTGCACTGGTGGGAGCGTTGTCCCTGGCAGCCACACATCCAGGCCTGAGGGGCTGGTCCAGGGAGTCTTGTGTTCAGACAGCTGATTGTCACTGAAAGGGAGGCTCGTGTGTTTTACACCTCATATTCTTTGGGAGCTGTGCATGGGCCCTGCATCTGTGGGCTGTGGGGACCTGTGGGCTCCCTCATCTACCCTCTAGCACCTCTGCCCCCTTCGAAGCTGTTGGGGTTAGGTAACCTCTGGGTCCTTGGGCCCTCAAGATGCCCTGTTGGAGCCTGTGCCACCCACCACTCAGCTGAGCCTCCCGCTGCAACCAGAAGCTGGCCCGGGCCTGGTGGGTCCAGCCCACCTTCACAGCCTGCCTTGAGCTGGGGTGGAGCTGGGCCCCGGGAGCCCTAGGCCAGTGCCTGCCTCCCAACAGGTACTTCTGCCAGCTCATTGATGGGCTGGAATACCTGCACAGCCAGGGCATCGTGCACAAGGACATCAAGCCTGGGAACCTGCTGCTCACCACCAGCGGCACGCTCAAGATCTCCGACCTGGGCGTGGCCGAGGTGGGGCTGCGCAGGGTAGAGCGCGGGGTGTGGGGCCCTGCGCGGGACAGGCTGTGGGACACGGGGCAGGGCCTGCACGGGGTCAGGGGGGTGGGGTCCCGTGTAGGGCAGGGGATGCGGGACATGGGGTGGGGCCCTGCATGGGGCAGAAGCCATAGGTCATGAGGGTGTGGGGGCCAAAGGGCACCGGGATGTGGCGTCCTGGGTATGTCAGGGGATACTGGGCACAGGGTGTAAGGCCCTGTGCAGGGCAGGGACCGTGGGGCATGGAGGTGTGGAACACTGTGCGGGGCGGGAGACGTGGGCCCTGCACAGAGCAAAGAAGTATGGGGCCTGTGTGGTATAAGGGGCCTACCTGGTGCACTCACTGGGTCACTGCCCCCCTCCCCAGGCCCTGCACCCGTTTGCTGAGGACGACACGTGCCGCACCAGCCAGGGCTCACCAGCCTTCCAGCCTCCTGAGATCGCCAATGGCCTGGACACCTTCTCTGGCTTCAAGGTGGACATCTGGTCGGCGGGGGTCACGCTGTAAGTACTCAGGGCCGCTAGACTGCAGCCCCACCCCCCGCAGCCCTCCACGTCGCACCCTGGGTTCTGCTCTTACCCAGGGCCTCATCCGGGCCCCAGCCTGTGCCCCATGCATACTCATTGTTGACCATCTCGTCCTCTGTGCACAGCTACAACATCACAACAGGCCTGTACCCTTTCGAAGGGGATAATATCTACAAGTTATTTGAGAACATCGGCAAGGGCGACTACACGATCCCGAGTGACTGCGGCCCGCCTCTGGCCGACCTGCTGAGAGGTGGGTGGCCCTCCGCCCACAGCCTCACCTCCCCGCGGGGGCCAGGACAGGCCTGGCGGGTCGGGGTGTGTGGGGCAGTGCCTGCCACAGGACGAGGGGACGGGGTTGGCCCTGGGTATTCAGGACAGTCTGAGGCCCCGCTGCATCTGTCTTCCCCCAGGGCCAGGGGCCCAAGAAGCGCTGGGTCCCACATGCAGAGCCCCTCACTCCTTCCTCAGCCTGGCTTGAGGGGCTGCAGGGACCTCAGCAAAGCTATCAGCAGGTGGAGTCTGCTCCCATACTGTGCAAGGGTCGGGGGATCCTGGGGTGGCGGGTGGACCTGGGCAGTGCCAGGAAGGAGCCTGGACAGGATCTGGCTCCCACCCACCCGCACGGACCCTTGCACTCCTGCTTTCACCACTTCCTGTAGCCCCTCATTCGAGCCTGGGGAGAGTGTGCCCTGCAGCGGGTTTTGGAGCCACCCCCACCCACCCTCGTTACTGTGCCTTGCTGGGTCTCTGGAGGTGGCCACAGGGCAGCTGCGCCTCCCCTGGCTGTGTTTCGTAAGTGGCCCAGCAGGTGGTGCTATTGTCTGCTCAGGCACGTCTTCCCCTGGGTGTTCGTGGTCATCACAGTGATCCACCACATCCCTTGGGGGTCTGGGGCCCTAAATGGGACGCTCTCCACCCACAGGGTGGCTGGCATCCACTCACAGGGCCTTCACCCCAGCTGTTGGTGTCACAAGGGACAGCAGTCACCAGCCAGGAATGGCAGGTCATGCCCTTCGGGTTCAGTGCTCAGAGCCACAGGCCTGCTTGTGCCTGCTCAGTTCTGGGTTTGCTGGGTGCCCAGGTCCGCCATGCCCCGTGCAGCGTGTGGCCAGGACCCCTGCTCTCCCCAGCGCTGCACATGAGCAGGAAGACTTGCTCAGGGCCTCCGAACGTCATCTGAACGTCAGCAGGCCCTCCTGCCCCGTTGTCTCGCCTGTGCTCCTCCACCTGTCCGCCAAGTGTGTCGCTCACACTCCCGTCTCTGTACATGCCATGCCCCCATTGAAAGCTCTTGATCTTGTGATGTTAGGATTGTCTGCCAGAGGCGTACTTGGGGGCCAGCTGTCACAGCCATAATCAGAGGTAACTGGTGACCGTGTCGAGAACACGTCTCGTTTTCTGAGTTCATTAATATGAAGTAGACCTGGACACAGCGCCTCTGGTGGTAGCAGTGTGAGGTGATCTGTGTCTGCAGGGTGTGGGCAGGGGTCCCCTGGGCTCAGCCTGAGGCCTGCATGGTCCTGGGCAGAGCTATGCTCCTCTGCTCACGGGGAGCCCAGCTCAGCCTCTGTGTGATCCTGCCTTCTGGCTCCACCACAGCCTCTCAAGACTGTGGGATTCACAGTGTCATGCACAGTTCTCACGGCCTGGGGACTGCCTTGTCCTCCCCACTGACCTGGCCGCTTTGGGCTGGATGCTCCATGCCCCCAGGCTGCCCCGATGGGGAGGCCGAGGTGGGGGCTGCTGCCCTCTCCACAGTGGTGTCGGGCAATACCATGGGGTGTGAAGCGCCTGCTGCCGAGGGTGCTTTGGGCCGTGGCCGTGGTGGCTGGGCTGTCGCCAGAATGGCCAGTCTCGGAGCAGAGCTGTGAAAATGGCACGGCCTCAGACCACCTCGTCTGAGTCGAGGACAGGATCACTCAGCTCGGAGCGCATGCTTACACGGCAGAGAAGTCGTGGCTCTGCTCCCCAGCATCATTACCAGCTTGGCGGCAGCTGTCCCGCCCCCAGCTCTGTGACCACTGGGCTCCCTGACCCACTGCGGGGGCAGCACAGAGCTCACAGGGCATGCTCAGGGTGGTGGGGTTCGTAAGGGAGGTAATAGGCTACAGTTCAGGATCAGGATCAACTGGGAAGTAACAGGAGCGACTCAGGAGACAGCTCTTCTCTCGGGACAGCTGCTCAGCCTGCAGGCACGCTCCCTCCCGGCTCTCATCCTTGGTCCTGCCCTGCTCAGGCCGGTGCCAGAAAGCTTGCTAGCTCCACAGACAAGTGTTGTGGGCACCCCACTCTGGCAGGAAGCAGCCTACCCACAGGCCCTCAGCGCTCTCACTCCAAGGACCTGCACCCCCTCTATAGCTGACGCGTCGGCTGGGGAGCCTGCTCTGTCGCCTTGCGCCTGTCTCCTGGCTCTGCCTCTGTGGTTTCTCTGTGGCTGCTGCACCTGACTGTCTTGGCCCATGGCCGGCGTTACACCTTTCTGTGCCCTAGCACCTGGGAGGCTCTCTACATAGAGACCCTTGCTTTGAAAAGCGTGCTTGTCTTCTGCCTTTTCTTGATGATAGTGTGGTCCCCTTCCGGCTTCTGGGATTGGTCATCTTGAGTGCACAGGGATGGCAGAGCTGACCCATCCCCTTGTTAGGGTTCCATACACCTTTTTTGCAGTCCCAGCACGTGGGAGTCACGTGACTGTAGAGCATGTGTTTTCTGCAGCATTTTTGCATCCGTGTAGGCTTTGCATGCCTGTCAACTCCTGGCTGTCCTGTCCTGACGGAGCACAGGTACTCAGGTCTGTGACGGACGGGTGCGCGGGTACGATGCCAGTTGCCATCCAGTCGACGGTGACTCACGGCGACCCTACGTATGCTTTGTGGGGTCAGCAGTGACTGACTGCTTGGAAGCCTGTTGGCAGGCCTTGGTGTTAGGGCACCTCCAGTCATTCAGTTCTCAGCCGAGCCTTGGACCCGTGTGCACCACTGGGGGCTCTGTACCCAGGACTGCGGGGCTCCCACACAGCTGGGAGGCAACCCTTGGGTCCAGGGGCTTCTTCCAGCTTGTTGTAAACTCGCTGGTGACGTCCTCTGGGTCGCGACTTCTCTTTGTGGCCGGCTGTGGGCCTGTGCAGTCCGCCCAGGGCTTCTCTCTTCTCAGCCGTCGAGCGCTGATTGTTCTTGTCACCATCCGGTCGATGCAATCTCACGAGGGCCCCGTGTGTGCGAGGCAGAGCTGCTCCCAGGGCTCCTGCGGCCTGGAGGGAGCGCATCACCAGGCCTGTCCGCCAAGGCGCCTCTGGGTAAAGGGAGCGTTTTTCTAGGATTTGTCCATTGTGTGTCACTTTGAAAAGCATGGCATAAACTTGGTCCCCACAGCTATGTTTCTCACGAACATGGCAGGGTTTCTCCTAACGGCCCCTGCCCATCACAGACGGGTCTGTGTCGCAGGTGTGGGTCTGCGTTGCAGGTGTGGGTCTGTCACAGGTTTGCAGTCCTCCTTGTTTACTAGTTCAGTTTCACCAGAATTTCTCAGTTTTGTCTGTCTATTCGAAGAGTAACCTTTGGCTTCAACCTCCTGGTTGGTTTTCTGTTTGCTCGTTTTTATTTTATATTCTTCTTTCTACTGTGTTTTGTTCTGTGTGGCTGTTCTTTTCCCACTTTCCTAAGTTATACACAAAACAAACAGCTAGTTGCCATCAAGTTGACCCTGAGTCATGACCTCATACAGGTCAGAACAGAGCTGGCTCCATGGTGTTTCAGTGGCTGATTGTTAGGGAGTCCCCAGGTCACAAACGTCCAGCTTACAGCTCCCGTTGCCCTTGAATGTTATGGAAATTTTCCTTCTCTTTGAAATGATTGAACCCCCCTACACGCAACAAATGCTTCATCACCGTTGATGTTGTTTGCTGTGCATACAGCTTTTACGTCTTTGAAAAGGCTTTGAGCCTCTTCTTGCACTTGAAGTCCGGCTAAGGAAGCATCCTCTGCCCCTGTTCACACTGACCATCAGTTCCAGGGTCTCGTTCAGCACCTGGGCCTGCCCGTGGGCGACTGGCCCTTATTCTCAGGTGCCGCTGGGTGGACCACAGCAGGCAGCCCTTCAGGAGCAGGCAGCCACGGGGACCCTTGGCGCCACCTCCCGCTCTCGTTTACAGGTGCGGAGCAGTAACTTGCAGCTTTCTGTTTTAGGACTATGATGGCTTCTCTGAGTCTTGCTTTCCCCTCACTCACAAATCCCGATCCATGCATAGTGTTTGTTATGAGTCTGTTGACTCGATTTTCTCATTTTTGTTTTTACCTTCTAATACTCACGAGTTATTTAGACACCTTTAAGTTCACACACATGGGAATTTGAAAGGTTACTGTTTGTTCTGTTCCAGGATTACTTGCTTTGAGGGAGACAGAATGATTTTAGTCTGGGAAATGCGCTGGCTTACATTTTTAAAATTTTAATTATTTAAAAATAATTTATTGTGTTTTTGGTGAAAGTTTGCACAGGCTATTAGATTTCCAGTTGATGATTTCTACACAAATTGTGCAGTTCTATTACATTTTCCATAACGTATCGACATGCTTTTTAATTGTGTTTTTAAAACCATTTATTGTGATTTGGCTGAAAGTTTCCACACCGCAGCTCACACACACTTTGTCTCAAGACACTGACTGCAATTCCCCGCAGTGGAGTCACCCGCCTTGCTTTGTGAGCTGACCTGTGGTCATTGCCTGTAAATGTGCAACTTGGGGAAGAGCTCCTTTCAGCCCGGTGTCCTGCTCTCTGTGCTGTGGGTGGAGCCTGCTAGTTGTGTTGATGAGTTACGCAGCGGTCCTGCCCGTCGGTGGTGTCCTCCTGGTTCTGTCTCTGTGTCTGAAGGCCGTGGGTCAGGTGCTCCACGTTTACAGCATGTGTGACTCCCGCTTCGCGTGTTCCCTCCGTGTCTTCAGTCTGCTCTGAACCCCCCATGGCAGCTGACCTCATGGCTTCAGTGCCCAGCATCCCTCTCGGGCTGTGGGAGTGTGTTCAGCCGACACACAGTCTTTCCCACGAAGGGGGCTCAGGAAAGGGTGTGCGTGACCTTGGCCCCACCGGGCAGGCAGTGGACTCTCGCGAGAGGGCAGGTGTGTGCCTGTCCTGCAGCCACAGCCCAGCACCTGTGAGCTCTTCATGGCCTGGGCAGACGGATGGACAGACGGATCGGTGGACAGGCAGCCACAGTGGGGCTTGGGGTCTGAGTGCCGTGTGTGACCTGCAGCATCTCTCCTCAGGGATGCTGGAGTACGAGCCGGCCCAGAGGCTGTCCATCCAGCAGATCCGGCAGCACAGGTGAGCGGGAAACGGGGGGGGGGGGGGGGTAGCGGGCACGTGGGCCTGGTGCTCAGCCCAGGAGCTGAAGAGGCCCCAGGTGGTAGGCTCCTGGAAAGTGCTAGCTCTGCTGCCGGCTGGGGGTCCCGTTCCAGGCCCCCGAGCCGGCTCCACTGCTGGCTCAGGTGTGGCCATGGGGCCTGCCTGGCCTGCATGGCCCTGGCGGCTCTCAGGCAGCCTGCCTTCCCACAGTCCCTGTCTGCCAGGCTGTCCCCCAGGGCTCCATGGTCGCAGGCTGCTGCGTGGCCTGCACTCACTGTGCCCTGTATGGAGCTGGCGTGCCTGGCCTGAGCTGTCCCTGCTCCCATCCCTGTGGCGGTGGCCCAGGCTGCATGCTACCTGGCCTGACCGTGCTCCTCCCCCACAGTTGGTTCCGGAAGAAGCACCCGCCCACTGAGGGGCTGGTGCCCATCCCCCCCAGCCCAGACACCAAGGACCGGTGGCGTAGCATGACAGTGGTGCCCTACCTCGAGGACTTGCACGGCTGTGCCGGCGATGCTGAGGACGAGGGCCTCTTTGACATCGAGGACGACATCATCTACACTCAGGACTTCACAGTACCCGGTGAGGCCTGGCCCGGGCTGGGGGCGCCGACAGGCTGGCTCTGCTATGCCCTCCTCCCTGCGTCCCCTCCACGCTGTCCTCCCAGCTCCACACTGTGTCCCTCCCTAGACAGCTTCCTGGCATCTGCCCTCCCCACCGTGCCCGACCACACTCCTACCCTCTCCACATGTGTCTCCACCCAGGACCCTCTCTGATGACCTGTCCCCTAAGGGCCCTCCCCTGAGGAAGCCTCCTCTAAAGCTTCCCTACCTTGGCCAGTGGCCTGTGTGGAGCCCTGATGGTTGGTGGTGCTTAGCAAGCCCTGTGCCCTTGGGCAGCCTCAGGTGGCACCCTGGGCCATTCCCTTGCAGACCCTTAGCTGCAGGGGGACGGGGAAAGCCTCCAGGGTGCAGTGGGCCAGTGAGCGGGAGTCTCAGGGTCCCAGGGGACCCCCACTCTGGCCACCCTGACACCCTCCCACCTTCTTCCCCAGGTGATGAGGCGGAGGCTGAGGCAGGGCTTAGCGAGGAGACGGGCTCGCAGCACAGCGAGGGTTCCTGCCTTTCGGGAGAGGACACAGGCAGAGCCTAGTTCCCGAGGATACACTCAGGGCCGTGGTGTAGTGGCCACCACTGCCCACCCACGGCCCCGCATCCTGCCAGGCAGGAAGTGCCTGCCCTGGGTCCAGCCCCGAGGCAGTGTCCCCTGAGGGGCGGGACATGGCAACCCCCAGCCCGGAAGTGTTGAGGTTTTGCTCTGTGGGGGGGCTGTGTCTCAGGCTGAGTGTCATAAAAGCTTTTGCCCTGCTGTTCCTACCGCCATTGCTGCGTGTCTGGGTTAACACGTCCCACCCGACCCCCACTTACACCGCTGCTTCCCTCCTGTTGGTCCAGGGAGGCTCTTTAAAGGGAAAACGTGCTGTGTGCTGACAGCCTGGAAGGAGCAGGTGGGTTTGGACCTGGGGCTGCAGACGCCACGGCAGCAGAAGGGCAGAGGCCTCTTGTGGCCAGTTGAGGGCTGTGGATACTGGAGGCGTCTCAGAGCCTAGCCTGCCTGTGGGGAGCCCGCCCTTCACCTCAGTTCAGAAACTGGGCACTTAGCCCAGCAGGCGTGGGTGCACACTCAGCTCTGGCCCTGGGAAAGGGGGTGCTACAGGCTTGAGGGAATCAGACCCGAGAGGGAAAGCCGAGGCAGCTGCTGTGGGGTTGCCTGCGACTTGCGGTGCCCCGTGTGTCGCGGGAGGCACCTCGGGGTGCGGTCCAGCCCTACGACAGTACCCGACTGGGTTCAATGTTTGGGCTCTGAGCCTGAGGGTGTCTCGCAGGCATCAGTCCAGGCAGGGGCTTCTGCACCGCTCTGCCCGGTGTGCACTTGGGGGCCCTCACTACTCCCAGGTGGCCCCAATGCTCAGAGCAGCTGGCTCCCTTTCCTTGGGCATGGCACAAGCTGTCAGGAGTGGGGGCAGCCCCCCAGCGAAGCAGCCCTGGTGCGTTCTCCCCACACCCCAGCCTGTGCCAATGTGTCTCTTTCTCTGCTGCCTCATGTCTTGGCTGTTCGTGGATCTGACCCTAAACCCTGTGCCCCTTTGGAGATGGTCCACGTGCTCGAGCCCTGAGGTGCCAGGAATGGCTTTTGTGTCCACGTCTTGTGGATGGACTGGGTGGTCTCCACACATTCGCTTGGGTTCCCATGGTCCCCATGAGGCTGAGCAAGGCAGGGTCAGTCTCCTAAGACTTCCCCAGAGGGAACACTGACCACGTTGCCCCCGAGGCCCCAGTCAGCACAGTTGCTCTGGACTTGAGGCTCCTTTTGTGAGAAGTGGCCTTGGTGTGACCTGTGGGCCTCCCGTGCCCGTGGCAGATGACCCCTCAGATAGTGGGACCGGCCTCAAGCTGCTCCCCACACACAAACGGAGGAGGCAGAGCTGGGCAGCCAGAACTGGTTTGGCTCACTGCTTGGACCTGCTGGCCTCACTGTGCCTCAGGCTTCTGGTGGCCCCCTGGAGGGTGGCCAGGGCATGGAGACAGCTGCCCTTCTGAGGAGCAGGCCTCCTGGGGCTCCCGGTGGATGGCCAGGGGACACATCTCAGAGCCTGAAGAAACCCTTGACTTAGGCTGAGTGTTTGGGCCTGGACCTGCCCCCTTGCCAGGCCCCCCGTGGGGGTGGGTGCGACAAGTGGCACTGTGGGGATAGCACGATGGGGTGCAAGTCACTGTGAGGGGCAGCGGGTCAGGAGGGCCACGACTGGAGGCATCGGGGGCCGCGTGGGGCCATGTGGGTCCTCCGAGGACGAACTCCTCCAGGGCTTCGCAGAGCCGCCCTTGCCCCACGCACTGCCCTGTGCGTGCACCCTGCACGGTTCCCACGTGTGCGAGCCATGAGGGACAGACACCCAGGCCTAAAAATAAAGCCTGGCACCCCGTTACCAAGGTGTCCTTTCATAACCATCAACTTCCTGTGCAGAAGGGGGTTGCCAGCCGCAGCTCGTGTCAGCATGGGCTGAGTCAGGCTCGTCCCTGCTTCCAGGCCAAGGCTGCTCTGCTCCGGGGGCTCCCACGTGTGCAATGTGGACTTGTAGGTCCTCTGGCAGCTTCGTGGGTGCCTGGCCTGTTTCCAGCACTGCCAATGGCTGTCAATAACTGAGCCGGCCTCAGCACGGGGGAAGGAAGTGGCTCTGCTCCCTGCGTGCCTTTCTTGTGCCCCCTGCCCTAGACTGGTGGCACTGGGCATGGGTCCCCTACAGGCAAGTGGCTGTGGTTTCCTTCCACCTAGTAACTACCTGCTGCCCCTGTCAGTCCCCTCACAGGAGAGCCGTGGCCTGCGTCCACAGGGCCTGTGAGCCACAGCCGTACAGGCAAGAGCTGGAGCCTGGGGACCCTGTCCTGCACCTCTGGGGGGGGGGGCGGGCGGCCCTCACGGAGGGCTAGGGGAAGGTGCCGTGGACAGTGTGATGGGGGCATGCGGCTCCAGCTCTCCTGGATGCCCTCTGTCTCTGCTCAGGCCAGGACCCCCAGATGGTGGGGTGTTTCCAGTGTGGTAGGGAGGTGGCATTCACGGGGGCTGGGGCCTGTCAGTGTGGTGGAGGCATGGATGCCCCCGGCCTGGACAGGTCGCTGCATCCCCAGGGGCTGCAGTTGGCCCAGCCCCTGCTCATGCTCACGCCCCTCGCTGTCTCCTTCCCAGGACAGGTTCCAGAGGAGGAGGCAGGTCAGAACGGACAGAGCCGGGGCCTGCCTAAGGCCGTGTGCATGAATGGCACCGAAGTGGCCCAGCCAGGCCCCAAGTCAAAAGCCGAACGCCGTGCCAGCGCCGCCTCCAATCCTGCCCGCCGGGCCTGCTCCGCCAGCAGCAAGATCCGCCGGCTGTCAGCCTGCAAGCAGCAGTGAGGACACCCCCTGCAGGTGGGCAGCGTCCCAGCCCAGCCCACAGCCTCGTCCCTCACGACCCCACAGCCGGTGCTGATGACAGCAGAGGTTGGAGCAGGGGGCCGAGAGGTCACGTTCTGCAGGGTGCAGCCACCCAGGCTGTCTGCAACCCCAAGTGGGCCATGCTGTGGAGGGGTCCCCTGTATCCCCCACGCCCAGCTCAGCCGCTCCAACGCTGTCCTGCAGGAGCCCCCGGGGGACAGTGGAGCTTCCTCCCCTAGCACATCCCAAGCTATTCCCAGGACAGGTTCCTTGGGGCTCAGCCTGGCAGCCTAGGCACAGGGCCAGAGGACCAGGGCCAGCAGGGATGGCTCTGCTGCCTGCCAGGGTCCACCGGAGGCTCCTCAGGCCTTGGGGTGCTGAGTCCTGTCACCTACTCGGGGCGTGGGCTGGGGGCTGGTCTGCCTGCACCACCTACTGGGCTCCGTGTGTCTGCTCACACACATGCACAGGTGCCCAAAGCACTGCTTTTCAGCCTGTGCCCAGCACCTGTCCTTGTCTCTAAGTGGGGCCCAAGCTGCCTTCACTCCGGGCGGTGAATGCCACCTTTGCCCACCCCTCTGGACGCCTGCCCACTGCACAGGGCCGGGGACTGGGGTGACGTGGCTCCCATATGGGCAGGCCAGGCCTGTAAGGTCACCTGTCTCCAGGGAGGCAGAGCCAGCTAGCAAGGGCCGCTGCTCGCTAGCCCAGAAGCAACCCATTTTTTGTCCTCCCTTCCACAGCCTATCTTCGAGGGCCCCTGGCCCTCCTCAGTCTTGCCACCAACTCCTGGCCTGCTGCCTGCCTGGGAAGGATGCCAGCATACCCTCCACTTTGGCCACTTCTTGGGGAGTCAGGCATGTCCTGGAGGGCCAGGGCAGGGGGACAGCAGGGACCAGGGACTAGCGACCCCCTGGACCATCTGCGCACAGCACCTCGCCATCGGACACGACTTCCTGTTGACTTTCGCGGTCCTCCCCAGGCGAGGGGAGAAGGGACAGGGCCCGGGCCAGAGGTGTTGGCCATAGGCGAAGCCATCGCGATGCACTTTACGTTTAGACTGCTGGTGTCCCCGCCCCACCCATTTTGTTTTTACTGCTATTCGTTAGAGCCACCCACAGCCAGTGATATGTTCAAACAGATCACAGCCCCACGACGCTGGTATGAAGACAGGCCTCCCATCCCCGCGATGCATGCCCAGCCGCCGAGGGAGCCAAGCGGCTACCTTTGGTTTTTGTTTGGTTGGTTCCTCTTTAATTTTTCTTTCTTTCTTTCTTTTTTGTAAGAAAAAAATAAAACAGGTGGATTTGAGCTGTGGTTGTGAGGGGTGCTTGGGTACTGCTGGGTGCCTTGTTCCCCATGGTGGGCCTTTCAGGTCTTGCACCTGATGGATGGTGGGGCATGGGCACACTCCACACCTGGGGTCCCTGTGTGCCTTGGCTGCTACTCTTGGTTGGCTGCAGGTGGCCTGGCTGGTCTGCACTTGGTCACATGGGGCCTGCCTGGCCCGTAGTCTCTCTGCGGAGCTCCTACCTCCCCAAAGGTCAACAGACCCCTCTCTGATCAGTTCTAGGACCCCACAGCTCCACAGCCAGTGGTGGCTGGTGACAAACCTGCTGACCCTCTCTTCACCCCTAAAAACCATTGTGCTCCTGGGTCCCCAGAAAAGACCGGAGCAGGCAAGAGTATGCAGTAAATATTTATAACCAACCAGAAAACAAAAACACAAAAACACCATGACCGAGGGTGCGCACCATGGGCACGAGGCTTGGCAGGGTGACCGTGGCGGCAAGGGCTGCCCCATCTTTTGGCAATAAATAAAGCTTGGGAAAACTTGAATTCTTGGCCATCTGGCTTTTTTTAACGTCCCTTTAAATACTATCGGTTTCCTTCCGGTTCCTTTGGATGATGCAGCTGCGGGGAGGGGCAGTCCATTCACATGCGGGGAGGGTACAGGGACGTGGACTGGGAGACAGTGAGATGGGAGGAGCCAGTCAGGGGCCCAGTGGAGGGGGGGGCCGGAGCGGCAGCAGCAGTGGTGGCAGCAGCACGGTTATTGCTCGGAGAGGGCATAGGTGGCCGCGCAGTGAGCGAAACTGCTCCTAAGGGCCAGCAGTGTGGCCTTGGGCCAGCCTCCTGGGGCCTGTTGCGCTCGCGCCTAGCCCAGGTGGTGCATGTGGACTGCTATTTTGAGAACCTCATTCAAGATCTTCCTTGAGACACCATTGGCTAGCGGGAGACTGTCCATGCGCCTTGGGACTCCCAACGTCTCTTCAGGGCGTAGACACTGCGCATGCATTCTAGGCCACTTGCCACTGAGGCTTGTGCCAACTGTCTCACGATGGTCACCACCACCCCAAAAGCCACTATCTGGGGCTACAGGCTGTTGGACTGGTCTTCAGGAGCCCGAAAATGAGAATTCTTAACTCTCTCCCATCAGGCCGTGGTCCCCGAGCCTCGCGCCTCAGGATGCCCTGGGGACCATACGGCGCGCCCACGGGGCCTGTGCGCGTGCGCCCTGGGGCGGCGCGAGGTGCCAGGCGCTTGGCAGCCTATGCGTGTACGCGCGACGTCGCCCTGGGCGGGTCGCGCATGCGTACCGGGGGGTCGCAGTCCCCAGTGTCTCCCGCCCCGAGGCCCCGCGCGACATTGCCTGGAACGAGAGATGGGCACGGGACTTAGGCCGGGCTGTGGTCGGGGGACGTGGGGGCGGCGGTGGCCAGCACTGGGCCCGCGGCGACAGGCTGGGCGAGGCGCGGCGGGAAGAGTCTCTCGTCGAGGCTCGCCCCCAGCTTGTGCAGCAGCGCCTCCGGGGGCTCGAGGCACAGGCCTGAGCTGGAGCAGACGCCGCCGCCAGGCTCCTCCTCGATGACCGGAATAATGGCGGTCCCGTCGTCGGGGACCGCACCTGCCACGCGCGTAGGCGGGGGCGGACCGTCCATACTGTCGCCGCGACGCAGCGGTGCACGCGCAGGGCGGGGCTCGATGCCAGAAGGGTGCGGGGCCTGAGCGGCACGCGCACCAGGGTCGCTGTGTTGCCGACCCCGCTGCTGCCACTGCTTCCGCGCATGCGCGTGTGGATGCGCGCGGGCACGATGACGCGCGGCGGCCGCGGGCGCCTCGTCGAATTGGGGGTCGTGGCGGAGGAATTCGTGAAAGAGCGCGTCTGTCTTCTCGTCGATGCTGTAATCGCGCCGAGGGGCCCGACGGGGCCAGGCGCGCGGGCTGCGGGGCCGCGTGGGGATTGGCACAGCCTCGGCCTGCGTCTGGGCCACCTCGAAGCTGTCCCCAAGGATGGCCACGCGGCCCGCGCTGAAGGAGAAACGCTTCTCGGAGGCAGTGGGTGGCCCGTCGTCCCCAGCACTGCGGCCCTCGATGCTGGCGTAGCCGCTGTCCATTTGCAGCAGCTTGCGTGGCCCGCCAGTCTCGCCGGCATCACCGTCCTTGGGTCGCGGCGTAGGTGGCGGTGAGGGCGGCGGCGGGAAGGCCGGCGGCGGGCCCCCAGAGCCCGAGCTGTCGCCGCTGCGCACGGAGTCCCGGTCATTGCTGCTGTGGTCCGAGGCAGTGGCCGCGTGTAGCTCGAGCGAGGCGCGCAAGCTCCATATGTCGTTGTAGATGGTCTGCGCCTGCTCCGGCCCCGTCTCTCGGTCGGTGTCTGAATCTTGCTGCTGCTCAGGCCCCATGCTGCTGCTTTCCGGGGGTGACTCAGGGCTGGCTCCCCCCGCGGCACCCTGCTCCTCGGTGGCCTCTAGCCTGCAAGCCAGGGGGAAGTTGTCAGAGGTGCCTGCTTCCAAGAGCCTCTTTCACCCACTCCCCAATCACCCCACCTCTGCCCCGTGTGGGGAGCCTTCAGGATTCGTTCAGGCCTTGCAGAAAGTGCATGTGGCTTGTCCTCTTGGTGGGGGGCATAGTTGGAACCCAAACTGAAGCTCGGTGCCTTGGCCCTGCTCCTCACCCAGGCTTTCTCCCTTTCTCATGAGTGGCTTGTCAAGCACAAGAGAAGAGACTGCAGGTGGCTGGCCCCACCCCCAGAAAGAGTGCTGGAGACGGGCACTCTCCTGGAGTCCCCTTCTTAACGTTTTCGTGTGCATTAAGGGTGCAGCAGAGAGCCCATCCCCCCATCCCTGATCTACAGGAACCAGGAAGAAGAGTCACCAAGAGACTAGTTCGTGGCACTGATTTGGGAGCTCACTGTTCTTCCTGCTGGGACTCTGACTACTCAGTGGTGTCAAGAGAGTGTCCACCTGGAATCAGGTGGCCCATGCCCTCCCAGTACGCTGCAGAGGCCGGAGTGGGGCCATGGGACCTTGCAGGTGACTGGGCAGCCTGGGTGGCTGCAGCTCTGGTTCCCCCTGGCAACCAGGTGGAGGTGGGTGTGGGAAAGGGAGTGTGGCCTCCACCCAGACCCAGAGTCGCCCACAACAAGGAAGCCTGGTTGCTGTGGACCCTGCCACTGCCCACTGCTCGGGACCCTGGGCCAGGTGGCGTTGGCAGAGCAGTCACAGCTGTCTCTGAGCCGAGGCTGTCCAGCCCTCAAGGGGACAGGCTGGCAAGTGAGGGGCTGGGACCACGGCAGAGTCTTACGGTACCCGTCTGGGCACACCCCCGCAGTCGTTTGCCCAGGTGGGTGTCCTGCTTGGGGTGCCCCCCGGCCCTCCACCCTTACCAGGTCTCTCCCTGCTTCCCTCCTCCGGTCCATGCTGGACAGGTGGCCCCGGCAAGTCCACCTCGGGGAGGGATCGTGGAACAGGAGCGTGCGCCTGCGCATCCACAGGGCCGCCTGAGGGAGATGGGGACAGGCAGGGGCCCCCAGGTCCGACCCTAGCGCCTCTATCTACTGAAAAATACCTGCCGAGAGTGGGGGGCGGGCTGGTGGGGCTGGCCAGGAAGGGGCGGGGGGACGGGAAGGCCACGGCGTCGCCAGCGCGGGCGATGTATGGGATGAAGTCCGCGGGGGGGGTGTCGCCCTCCTCCTGCTCCATGCTCTCGCTGGCTGCTCGCTGCCGTTGGAAGTGGTGCCGCTTCGGGGAGCCTGCATAGAGGACAGCCGTCAGCCCGCCCATGGCCCCCTGCACCTCTCCCACCTGGGCACACCCTAAGCCAGGTGAGTGCTGATGCGGCTCCCCCAGGGAGAGTACACCCTCATTGTGGTGCTGGGTGCTTCGAGTCGACTTGGACTCATGGCAACCCCATGTGATGGGAGAGAACTGCCCATGGGGTCGTCTAAGCTGTGACCTGGCAGGAGCAGCCAGCCAGGCCTTTCTCCCTTAGAGCCACCAGGTGGGCTCGAACCACCAACTTTTCGCTCAGCAGCCAAGCCCTGCACTGTTGTGCCCGCAGATCCTTACGCCTGGTTGCAGACACGGAAACAGACTCCAAGGGCAGAAGTCCTGGGCAGGGTAGAGGACCCTCAGGCAGCCCTGCTGCCTTGAAGGATCCCTGGCCAGAGGGGCACGGCTGAAGCCAGGAGGCCACAGACCTGGCAGTGGCACGGCCAGCGAAAAGCGCAGTGGCCGGAAAGAGTGGGAGTGAGAGGCAGGTTGGTGGGGGCCACGAGGGTGTGTGGGGTTGCCTAGCCCCACCCGTGGGCCCCTGGCATGAGGCCAGGCCCTCCCACGCCAGAGAGGCCTCAGAGAAGATTCCGTGGGAAGGCCTCGGGGCCAGGAGGACAGCCAGCCAGCAAACAGGTTCTGAGCGCTTCTGCAGTTGCACTTGGCTGTAATCACACTCCAGAATCACCTCACGGGCTCCGTCTGAAAACCTGAACCTCAGCTCTGCACAGAGCCTTCAGTACAGCTTCCCCACACCCCACGCCACCCTGAGCTTGGAGCCGCCTAGGGTGGGGGCAGGGACACTGGCCCTACCTCCCTGCACGGCTGGAGCCAACTGCCCGCCGGCCCCAACAAGGCAGCAAACCCTGATCCACGACAAGTTCCAGTCTCAGACCATCCTGCCTCTTCTTGTAGTATCACACCTTGTCCCCACTGCTTCCTGGTGCTAAGACTATGGGTTGAGGTCTTCCCCTTCTTCCTCTGTCGGGCAGCTGGTGCCCCTGTGGTCTGGCCCCAGACCTTCCAAACTGGCCTCACCTGCTGAACTCCCTTCCCTGTTGGAGAACTGAAGGGCTGCATCATCTAATCCACTGGTTGCTGCACCAAGGCCCATGGGCTACACTGTCCCCCAGCCCATGTTTATAAATAAAGTTTTATGAACACTGCTGTGATGACTCATTTTTCTATCATCTCCAGTGATCCTGGGCTACAGAAGCTGAACTAAGTAGTTGAGACATAGACCATCTGACCACGAAACCAAAAACATCACCCGCTCCGGTCCAACCTTCCTCATGGTCAGAAGCAGCCACAGCCTGGGCAAGCAAAGCTGAAGTTGCCTGGCAACACTCTGGCCAGTAGGAAAGGGGGAGGAGGGAGGAGACTAGGGCCCCTGGAGAACCTGACGGCTTCAGGTGGCGCTCCCACGTGTGGACACAGGCCTGACCTGTGTCCAGGGAGGGATCTGGGCCTACGAGGCCCACCTGCTCAGGTCCACCATGGCATGTGACCTCCAACACCTAGGCCCAAGGGACAACCCCCCACAGTAGCCTCAGAGGGAAGGACTGGGTGCTGGGGCCCCCTTCCACACTCTGCCTGTCCTGAACCCCGCAGCCACGTCCAAGCCCCTTTGGTGCCCTCCCATGGCCCCAGCCCACCTCTTGTGTCCAGGCTGCAAGCCCGCTGGCTGGCCTCCAGTTTCCATTTCTTGACCTTGAAGTAGGGGCTGGCCCCGTCCAGGCTGGCATGGCGCCGTAGGCGGGTGAGGAACTGCAGAACTGAGCCTGCCCCAGAGCTGGTGCCCGCCTCCCCGGACCCTGCCACGGCCCCTGGCCCACTGGCCTGGGTGCTCCAGGCACCCGCATCCAGCTGGAGGGGAGACAAGACAGGCTGTGAGCTTCACCAGCAGGCAGCCCCCAGCCTTGGCACCCACTCATGTCCTGACACCCTCTTCTTGCCACTCCCTGCTCACACAGGGGCTGGGGGGCTGGGGAATCAGGCAGACGTGGCCAGCTCTCATCCCCCAGCTGCCCTCCCGGGCTCTGCCTCTGCCTGGGAAGGAACCTGGGTGGGGTCTGGGAGGAGCAAGGGACCCCGAAGAGGCAGCAGAGGTGCAGGTGGAATGAGTAGGGGTGGGGCCCCTGGCCTCTTGAAGCCCTGGACACACACGTGCAGACTCCGGGACCCTGAAATCCGGTAGATGGGCTCAGGGTCCCTCACGTATCTGTGAGCATGTGTGTGTGGGTAGCTGTATACACTCCCTCACATGTTCAGGGACCAGGAAGGCCGTGGAGGGTGGAGGCCGCCCGCTGACCTCTGTTCTGTGCAGGTAATGGGGGGTAGGAGCTCCCACTAAGCCCCCACCCCCACTCTCCAGACAAAGGGGAGACACGCCAGCCCCTTACCGAGGTGCCCTCCCCCGAGTCACTTGATGCCGAGGGGCTGATCTCAACGAAGTTGGCAGCACCAGCGGCAGAGTTGTAGGGGTCACCTGGCAGGGCGGAGCTGGGGCCCACAGAGCGGCCGGTGAGGGCCTTCCCCGGGGGCTGTGGGACAGAGCCGTAGGGGAGCAGTGACAGGTCAAAGGGCCCAGGACACTGGCTGTCCCGGGCCTGAGCCCCCTCAACGAGGGGTGAGGGCCCTGTAGAAGGCCAGGACCAGGACATGGGCTGCCCACTGACCCCGACCCCCATCGGCCACCCCAGGGCACACTCACCTGGAAGATGGCAAGGCTGGCCTTGGGGGCGGTGGTTGGGTGGGGTGTGGCAGTTGTGCTGGCCTCCCCCAAGTCACACTCGTGGATGGTGACGATCTTGAGTGGCGGCAGGTGCAGGTGGGTAAGGCGGGCATTCTTCAGGTGGTGGAAGTCTCCTTCCGTCAGGGTGTACCTTCACAGACGCGGCCAAGGTCCCATCAGTGTGTCATCCGGCGCCCGCCATCCCCCCACCCAGCCTCATAGGGTCTGAGGAGAGCAGACGGGCAGCTCGGGCAGGGTGTCTTGCCCGCCCCTGGATGCCATTGCCGAACAGCCACTAGCCCTCCCAGGCCCCGTGAGGGCCCCTGCACCACACCCCCTCACCGGCGGCCCTTGTCCTGTGCCTTCCGGCTCTGCTCAAACAGGGCCGCCTCGTTGAAGGAGACCCGGCGGCCTGTGGCACTGGCGGACAGGAAGCGCTCAGCCTCGGCCTCCTGGCCCTCAAGGTCCTCGCCCCGGGAGTCGGGGTCTGCAGAACAGAGCCAGAAGAGGGGTGGGCCGCGCCTGGTCACAGGCAGGTGGGGGCAGGCAGGGACGGATGGACGGGGCGGGCACTCACTCATCCGCTCACACACTCACACGCTCAGCACGCGCCTGTGCGCACCTACGCGGTGGGCTTTAAGGAAACAGAGATGAGTCGGAATCGAGTCGCGCCCAGTCTGGTGGGGGAGACAGACAGACAGCCGGTCAGGCGGCTCGGGGCAAGTGGGGGAGGGGGAACCAGGGGCTGGGCCAAGGCAGGCTGGGCGCCTCACCTTGGGTGGGGTGGGTGCCGTTGTCCAGGTAGGTGGTGGTGGTCTTCTCTGTGTCCTCCATGGCTCTGTGGAGAGTGAGAGCACACCACAGATGGCTCAGACTGCACCCCCACGGCTGGCACAGCCCCTGAGTTCCTATAGGAGCCCACCCCGTGTGCCAGAACCACACCCAGAGGTGCTGCCCAGACACACCATGCCCCTGGCCAGCAGGGACTGTCCCCCATACCACCTAGTTTGTGCACGTGTATACACACATACACAGGTACAGGACTGTGCACGTCGGTACATGCATACACATGCCTCTTGGCACAAGTCTACACACCTATACACACAGCCCTGCAAACATACACAAATGTACATATTGATGCACACATACATGCCACCACATGTGTCCACACCTGTGTACCCATACAGATGACATACACACATTTGTGCATGTGCCACCCATACACATACCTTACATGCATGTACTTGTGTGTACACACCCTACGTGTGTGTACACCCATGCATTCACCTGTCTATATGTACACACTTGTGCATTCACCCCACCAATAGATGTATCTGTATGTACCTGTGCAATGCTTTTGCCAACATACAAATGCACACACCTGTGTCCGCATCCATGCATACCTACACACAAAGACATACCCATACCTGTATACCCACATGTCCACCCAGTAGGCTGGCATGCAAGTGTATATACCTGCCCCTCCCAGCGCTGGTCCCCTTTCCACACGTTCCCAGCTCCTCTCCCCCCCACCTGCGGCCCCAGCAGTGTGCCTCCCTCCTCCTCCCTGTGATGAGCGGCGCCCCTCTCCCCTCCCCCTCACCTGCGCGCACGCTGGTGCCCCTCCCAGCAGCGCCTGCACAGCAGCAGCACCCCCGACAGCACCACCAGCGTGCCGCCAACGAACAGTGACATGACCACCACCAGCAGCACGTAGTTGTCCAGGATGGGGTCGGACGCCGCCTGTGGGGGACGTGGTCAGGATCCTGGGCCTGGACTCTCAGCCCCCCTACCATCCCCCCTCACTCACTGTGGGGCGGTCTGTGGTGTTGTCCCACGACGTGGTCAGCACCACAGTGGTGGCGGCAGCTGCTGTGGCCATGGTGGCTGTGGGCTGCATCGTGGGGCCAGGAGGAGGGGCCTGGGGGGGCAAGGACTGCTCAGGGCCCACATCCCCTCCAATCCCAACCCACAGGAGCCCCTGAAAATAGGCCTCCCTCTGCCTTCCCACAACAGGAGCCCACACACGTTGGGCAGTGACTCAGGACGGGGGCCAGGGGCCCCGCAGCAGCCCCACCTGCGGGGAGCAGGCCGGCTGGCTGGAAACAGCACTTTTCTCTGGGCAAGGTGTCTCTGCACCTCCATTTACCCATCCTTGCTGGGGGGCAGCTGGTGCACCAAGACACCTCCCAGCCCCACATGGTGAGACTGGACCAGGCAGGGGGCAGCACCCAGCCAAGGAATGGGGAAACTGAGGCGAGATGCTGGCTCAGGCAGGCCCCCATGCCCCATCCCCACCATCAGGGGAGGGGCCGCCCCCACCCTAAACAGGGACCCCGGTTCACAGGTGGGGGAGGCAGCGCTCCAGGGGTCCGCCTACAGCGGAGGGGCGAGGTCACGACTGGGGTGGTGAGTGTCCCCCTCCGCTGCGCCGGTGGGAGTGGAGAAGACAAGGCGTGCGCATCTGCTCCCGCCTGAAGAATCTGGTTCCCATGGCGACGGCGCAGGCCGAGGGGGGGCGGGAGGGTTGCCAGGGAGCACGGGAGGGAGCGGGGGGGGGGAGGCCCTGCAGGGGCGGCTGCGGAGCCGGCGGGCCGGCAAGATGGCTGCGGCCGCCTCCCGCGGGCCCACCCCAGCCTCTGGGCTGCATGGATACTGCCCTACCCCCCATGCCCAGCTCAGCCTGTCGGGGGGCCCGCGTTTTGCTCTGAAAGCTTCAGGATGACCAGCCGTCCCGAGTCCTCGTGGGACCCCAGGGTCCTTTTCCCAAAGCCGAAGGACCGGCCCTTGCGGGGCTTTAACTCCCACTAGACAGCGGGAGAAACTGAGGCCAGGAAAGGTGAGGGTCCTGGAACGAGTGGAGAGTCCTCGGCACTCAAGACGGAGCCAGCCCGGACTCCCCGCACCAGGGGAGGGGATGCAGGCACAGATGTAGGTCGGGAAATGAGCTCAAGCTGGGGCAGAGGCGCAGGGACGGCGACAAGAGGTTGGCAGGAGACTGAGAGAAATAAGGGCGCTTAGGGGAAGGCACGAACTTGCAGGGGGTCCCCACGGGGTGGCCCCTGGGCCCGGGCGGCCTCGACTCCCCGCGAGCTCGCTCCGTTCCCACCCCGGGACCCCACCGCAAGCAGGGATGGCAGGAGCAGGGGGCTGAGCGGTCGAGACCCCAAGCGAGATTCCAGGCGCATCTCCCCTGGCCTCCCCGGGAGACGGACACACCAATGCTCGCCCATCCTACGGGGAAACTGAGGCCGGGCAGGGTGTGGGCGGGGGTGGCCCTCTGGTGGCCGAAGGGGCGGGGCGCCGAGCCCCCCGCTCCCGGCCCCCAGCCTGGCCGCTCCTACCTCAGTGCCTGGGCGCGCGGCCCATGGGCGGCGGCGGCGGCGGTGACGGCTCCCGGCTTGCTCGGCCCGGCAGCGCGGAGAGGCGCGGATTTATGAATGGAGCGCGCGCGGCCCACCGCGCCCGGGAGCGGCAGGAGGGGCGTGCACGTGACCGCGTTGGCGGCGCGC